ATTCTTTTGTTGCGCAGTCGACCAACACCCTCGCAACTGAAGGGGATCAATCACAAAAGACGACCGAAGGGTCCTACACACCGCTACCAATTCCTTCCCCAGATCATTGATTCCCATCCCATAGTCAGAGAGGGGTATGTTCCGGGAGTTCCGGAAAAAGGTCCGGTAAAGAAGGGATCTCATCAATCTGAGTCATGACATACAAACCGTGCCTTTTCCAAAAAATCTCCTCATCACAGGCACAGACCATGGGCAAAATTCCACGCAAAAAACGGTTGTGCGTCCAAATCAGCTCACCCACTTTCTTATTCTTCTTCCATACAAAGCGCACACGCCGCTTAACCAGCTCACGAACACAAAAGGAAAAGCTGAATCATCAATAATGCGGACAACAAGAGCCAAAACAGAACTGGATTGCAATCGATGATCGAATACTGCCCGGACGACAATCTTCCTACGAATATCAAATCCAATCCTCCATTTAACCGCTAGAGCTGTCTTTCCTGGAAAAGGCCCTTGCGGCCCTGAACAAACGAACCAACCCATCAATAGACTTCCTACCCAAATCCCTCCGTCGCCAAGGCTGCTGAAGTAGGAGATGAAGCTCCCCCTTATGGATAGCCCTACCATTGGGTGTAACCATCAACGAACAAATGAGGAAGTCACCCCCAGCTTCAAAGCAACGGTGAACATCACGAAGGCAGGATCAGCGGTGTGTCAGAGAAACAGGAGACGTACCAAAGATACGTCGTACAAACGACCATTTGTCAGCCCAACTCCCTCCAGGCGAAACAGAAATCCTAATATATCGATCTCCCGCAACAAAGGCCTCCTGTAGCAGATTCACCAAACTATCCGTCCAAGGGCCGTTATCGGTGCGAAATTTGACAAAAGCTGAGACACTGGGAAACGACGCTACACCAGCGCACCTACGCTGGCGAGACAGCCTTTGGGTCCTACCAGCCTCACGTCTCCCACGCATAGAATTAAGAGAAGGGTCAACATATCGAATAACAGCACACTCAGCAGTATCAACCGAAGAGAGACCATTAACCAGGGGTACAGCCACATACTTCCAGATCCCAAAGCGTCTAAACCACTTGTAGAGTCGAGGACACACACCATTCCCACCAGAAAAAGAGGTTTGAATGTGCTCGCCCATCTAACATACAAGCCCCGAATCGTACTACCCACATATTGTGCCCGACACCAGGGAGAGGATAAGAGATACACGACCGGACCCTTATCCCAAGAAAGCCAGTCAAGAGAGCGAAGTAGCCCTTCAAACTTACGACACCAAATGATTTCTCCTACCAAAGCAAGAGCACAAAGCACAAGGTGCAGCATTTGTCGTAAAGCAGTCGAATCCTAGAAGGCAAATCGAAGACAAAAGCATTAGTCCGACTCTTCATGACCGCAAGCAGGTTACTCCAAAGATGGAAACTGGAGAAGCGTGCTAGTCATGCGGGGTTCGACTCAGCATTCTCTGGGGAATGTGGCGGGGACGCCGTGGCGGCCTGAGCCGGGATCAAGATAAATCCTTCTTAGGCCAACCTAGTTCGGGCAGCGATGATCCGATCAATAGAGGGCCCTTTAGTGCAATAGTGGAGGCCGCCTTCAGTACAGATCTTCTTCAGCTGATCCTGCTGAAGTCCCTCTAAAGTCCTACGCTGTTCGCGGATATAGTGAAGGATACCATCAGGTCCTCCTCCCGCCGGGACCTTCTTCCTCCTGTCCTCGGCTTGCCTGGAACACAGCACGAGTGCGCGCATTATCCGTAGCAGAACCATCCATGTTAAAGGTCAGCTGTTGAAAGGCCGTCCCTTCCGCTAAGGGCGTCTTACCCTGTCTACGTTTCTCTCGAAGAGTGTACAAGCGCCTAATCTCGTCATTGATATCCTCAATCTCACCATGCTCATCATCCCGCACCTCCCTTCTCCCAGAAGATCGCGGCGTACGCATCATCCCGATCTCCTCCTGCCTAACCTTGTCCCGATTAGCAAGGAATTGTCGGTCGAGCAAAGCCAGCAACTCGGCCTTGTTGGCTTCAGCATGATGCGCCTTCTCCTCCTTAAGCTGCTCTTGTATACGTTGCCGATCCTCCATCTCCTTCTTGAGTGCCTCTTGTTGCTTGCGCTCATGGAGGAGAGTACGAAGGAACTCCTTTTCCTCAAGGTCCTCCGGATTCCGACTTGGGGTCCAGAAGCGAGGAGTCATAGGAGTAGGTGTCCCAGGTCCACCTGCAGCAGCAGCAGGACCAGAATTACCCCGATTGGTCAGACATTCCCGAGCAAAGTGCCCATCACCCCCACAGGAAAAACACTTAAAATTGTTAGCCATCACGAGGTATAGAACAGGAAAACAGTCGGAAGAGACCGTCTAATCGTGTCTAACGAAAACGCCACACCTACTGGTCTGCTCATCGTAAGTAATTATCACCCGAATAAGGTGATCGTCAACAAGGAAAGCACACCGCAAGAGGATACGCGTCATATTAAAAATGACACACCAAAACGATCAAGGAGAACGATCGCCAAAAACTAAAGCGAAAGAGGAAGAACCGAGCATTCAGAAAACCCAGGGTAAGTTGCGACACAGCTGTAGCATTGCGAGGTGCTGCGCTGCGCTAGGCTGAGAGAAGGCAGGCTGGCGCTAAGCGGTAGGGCGCAGCTTGGGCGCAGGGCGCTGGCAGCCACAGCCGGGCTGCATAAGAGCGCTGAAGGAGGTGAGGGTGAAGGTGGTTCTTTGGAAGGTGAATGGCGCTGTGTGGGATAACAAGGGAGAGTGAGGGAGAAGAGAGAGACGTACCTGGTGGAGAGGAGGTCGGCATTGGTGTTGACGTCATCACTCGCTGGTAGTCAAGTTGTCTGGTTGCTTCCATGCTGTAGTTGTAGGGATAGGCTGTAGAGTAGATAGGGCGCCTGGCGCCATTCAAGAGAGAGAGCTACATTCAAGAGAGAGAGCTACGTTGACTCACGATGCTGCTGTATCGTTCTCAAATGGATGGTTCCTTGGTTCCATTGTGCTATCTGCTCTTGCTTTGACTACTTGGACTTCAGCGTGATTTTGCAATTTGGATTTCTATGCTTCGTCCACATTCATGTTCCTTGCAGCTCTCTTGGTTTCAAAACAACTGGGCCAGGAGCAATCAACTCGTGGAGGTTAACACCTCCAAGCTGGTGTTGGGTAAGTGGCTACTTGGCCTATAGTAAGGACCTGTGCAATCAGACTCGTTCTCAAACACACTTTTCATGCATGTAAACAGCAACGCAGCATACTGGCGACATGCGCCCACTCAAAACTCAGAGATATGGCTTTCAGATACGAGTTCACTCTCAATTGGCTATGGCGACTTCAGCGCCCAAACATCTCACTGTTCACATACACTGGATCACCCTGGATATCCCACACGCATCACTCTAACACTCGAACACACACACACACTCGCTACTAACTACAGCTATGGCAGCTATCGCTGCATCTAACCTATCGCTATGCTAGCTCCCTCTCTCTTGCCCACTGCGTCCTCCGGGCTCATCTGCAGACCTCCTTGCACAAGTCGCTGTGGCAGCGCTTCCGCATGGCTCACAGAGGAATCAATGAAGGGCTGGGTTATACTTCAGAAACTCGTTGGTCTGCCCTTTGCCATCGGCCCTTGGTGCTCACAGTCCCCCTGTGGTACTTGCTGGACCGGACTGGGACTGACTGGACCTTCCACCGACTGATTGTGGACTCACCGCTATCCTATCGACGTTGTACTGCTGTTGCACTGCGGTTTAGTCCACCACTTGCCTCGCCACTTGACCACTTGCCCACTTGCCTACCTTCTAGAAGGTCTACAGCTAAGCTTCCGGAACTCACTAAGACTTCTACGCTATAGAYCTACRGATYGAACCCCTGCTGCCTAGGGACCTACGACAGACCTACCAACTGTCTGCGAATACACAGGTCACAGGTTCAATTCTCGGGATCTATACAGATACTGTACATAGGTAGGGTGAGGTCTAGGGATCGAACCCTGGGTACTGCATCCGCTACTGCTAAAAGGTGAAAACCGTTTCACCTGGGTGCTCGGTCCATTCTTCACAGTAGAAGGGCAGATGTTTGTTGGTAAGTGGGGTGGGGTAGAGCACCATGCTGTATGGGGAACCGTATGAGGTTCCACTGGCAGGTATGCCAGATAGTACTGTGCCCGTCTTAGGGCAGTGGAAGGAAGAGCATCAGAGTCCGTGGTAGTGTCTCGGTATTGAGGGATGAGATAGAGATGCATTTAGTTTATTAGGAATATAACTAAGAAGCGTAGTGGTGGCATTAGAGTTAGTCTGAGATAGGGGCAGGGTAGATAGATGGAAGACCTGGACACTCGTTCTACATATCTGCAGGAGGACGGAAGCAGTTTTTGGTAAAGGGGCTGGAGGGAGTGTTATGTTAGTCGGAACCGGTTTTAGGCTCCAGGACTTTTGTTAAAGCTTTTTTCTTAGGACACTAAGTTAGAGTAGTTTTAGCCTCTTGGACTGCAGTTCCACTAGTCGCATTAGACCCCAGTATGAGTAAGAGGCAACTGTACAACAGTAGGTAGACAGGTAGGTAGATACGTAGGTAAGGCAGTGGTCTTAGTGGTAGTGGGAGTAGGTTGTGCAGCCTCTGAGCTGCTGGGCCTGTGAAAGGCCCGCAGGCGTTTTGCCTGTAAGTTAAGCTGGATGATACTTCCAGATACCTCCGTGTGTAATGTCGACGTTCCCTGGCCTCAAATCTTTTATGGATTGGAATTTCAATGTTGAAAAAAAAAAAAAAAACACGATCTCAGCCAAAAGGCCGAGAAAGGTATGTTTTTTTCCCTTCTTTTTCTTTTCTTTTCGCTTCGCAATGTTCGCAGTGTGTTTTCTATTTGTTTAGCGCACACTTTTGTTAACTTGCCCTGTTCTCGTTCTTTGACCTGACCCGTTTGTATTCGTGAACTGTACGTCTTTGATTACATGCAATCTGGATGATCAAATCAGGTCGAAACATCACCCAATGGAGTGTTTTTCGGGATCTATGATGGTCATGGTGGCCACGAGTGTTCTACATTTATAAGAGAACACTTGTATCCGAACTTGCAGAGTGAGTCACTGTTCCCCACCATATCCTGCTAACCCAGCTGTCCATCTACGTGATTCACAACCATCATCATTGGTAATATAGGAGAGAGAATCACCTAGGTCATCATTATCCTAACGATTTGGCATCATTGTTATTATTGTCGTAATTGTGATCCTCACTGCTTCTAGAGTTGCCTCACCATGAATGCACAGCTGGGCAACCAGATTAAGGACAGGGTGGACTGCAGTTGCCCAGTAAAACTGGGTGGGTGAAAACTTGTTGTTGCCCAATGCATCTACCCTCAGCCAGGACACTGAAAATCTGGCCTTACCTGTCAGAGAGCGATGGGAGTATAAATAGGCTTTAGACTTTAAGCTTTGAAAATGTTTGAGGAGGTGTACCTCTTACCTTCTTCTTCTTTTTTTTGTACCTTTTATCTCCTTCTTCTTCGTTTTTTTTTTTTTTTTTTTTTTTTTTTGGTTTGTTTGAACCCCTCAGAAGACCGCACCCACCCTCCCTGTCGTCAGTACCCCTGGGGCACCCCTACCTCCCCTGTCCTACCCTAGTGTTAACCACCCGGGACCATCACCCATGACCATCTTGGCAGGTTGGCCTGACCAGACAGTGGTCGCAGGCACCGGGGCTGAGAAGAACCCCTGCTCAGACCTGGTTGAAGCAGAGTCGCACAAGCCCGTTGTACAGGCACCTCGGGAGATAGGTATGCAATAACCCATGTCATATGCCTCGTGGAAATCCGAGGGCCGACCTGGCCGCCCTCAGCCAGGCCAAAAACGGGGTAGGGGACCCCACACAGGGATTCAGGGCCTGGGCGTGCTACAGTTGACTTTTGTCAACTGTCGCGAACCCAACAGTCGAAGTCCAAAGGTACCCAGTCCAGGCCACGGGTCAAGCACACACACTTGCTTGTATGCAGGTACCCAGACAGCATCAAGTCCAAGGGGGAACTCTGCAACTGTACAATCTAGGCCTTCGACTGTGACTCAATCTGGACGACTGAGGGGTGGAGACTCGAGGCCAGAGAGCCTCGCCAAACACTACTTAAAGTCTGGCCTCGAGGTGGTCGACATTCAGTCTGGCTATGCTGGTCTGGCTTGACTTTGACTCGACGCTGGCATTATGCTAGTGCGACGCTGGCTAGACGTTGGCTGTGCATCAGAGCTGCGGATGACGACACGAGGGAGAGGCGACGCTGGCAATGTACGTCAGGCATGCTGACGTGGCGCTGCCTCTGGTGTATGTGGCGCTGCCTATGGTCTACGTGGCATGCTGACGTCGCGCTGCCCCTGGTGTATGTGGCGCT